CATTAAAAAATAAAATTAATGAGGTCAAATAATTTTTTATTTTGAATCAATATTAGTTGATAAATTGTCATATAAAAAAATGTTTCTAAGCAAGCATTTATTTGTACATTTGAAAGTTAATAATAGAAAATAACTTTTTAGAAATAATAATAAAATCTTTAAATTAATCATTTTTTTCCAATTTAAATATTATGAGTTGACATCAAAAGTTCATTATAAAATAACTTTGTAATAAATAAAATTCTGATTTAATACCAGAAGAGGAGTTACAGATTTAATAATTATAATAATCATTTTAAAAATTATAGGAAATTTTTATTTTTAAAGAACTTGTAATGCTCTCGACAAGCTTTAAATCAATTAAAACTTAATTTAAAACTAATGGTTGTGGACAAAGATTAGGTTTTATCTGAGTAAAGTAATCTTGTATTAAGTAAGACGTTCATATCTTAGGAATCATATTTTATTCACAAAAAACAAACATCTCTTCAATATTGTTTTAAAGTGTAATAGAATTTAATACTTTACCAAACTAAATGTATTTTTAATTGTCGTTATTATTAACGAAAAATAATAAAAGATGATAGAATTGAAATCAAAATAAAGGTAAAAATAATTGCATTTTTTCACATGGTAACATTAAAATATTAGATGTAAAACTAAATATATACATTAAATAAACGAGAAAATCAGAGATATACTAAATAATTATCACATACGCCACCAATCTGCATCCAAAGAACAGCTATATCTTTATAGAAAAAAATAAGTCAATATTTTTTAATTAACAAAAAAAATATGTGTTCGAAGAAAAATGATATCAAAAACATAAAATTAAAAAATACACATTTCTCAAATTTAAATAATTGCTTAAAAGTAAAGTACAATTACAACGGAGACAAGTTAGACCTGGCCAAGTTAAACAAGGAGCATCGAAAATCTCTATACATTAATATTAAATAAAAATACAACCACTAAAAAACGTTCGAATTAGTTGACGACCCCAACATGGCAATTAAAGAATCAGCTAACTGACGCGTCCGCGGCAACATCATTCAAGAGAAAAAAGGCCACGGTGCGCTTCAAGACAAAATGATTTTTTTAGAGAAAGAAAGAATGTGCACACATTGCAACGAGAAAACAATAACGGTAGACCATTTGATACACATTGTGAGAGGATGTTGGCGTGCGATTATATAAGAAGACACTATAAAGCCAATAAAAGCATTCATTTACAAATGTGCTTAAAGCATAGATTTAAAATTTAAAGAAGATAAGAAGCCAATCGGCATTAATGTGTATATCAAATGAAATAGCAAAATTTGAGTAGATACGAGAATACAGGATGCTATAAAGGTTAGGTAGAACAAGCCCGATATATTTATGATAGAAAAAGTAAAGAAAGAAATTATCATTATAGAAATAAAAATTTTTTCTTCGACAACCCGAGAACTGTTGTATTTGAGAAGAAACATAAATACGATTTACTAGCGAACCATTGTGAATCTATGTACAAATACAGTAAACCCTTGCAATTTGAAACCCTACCTAATCAAGAAATAATATTTTTGCATAAAAAAAAACAAGCCCATTGTTATAATTGGCTTTGTCTTTTTTTACAATTTAAGACATCTACGCCTAATCAATGCGACTGTGTGAATTATATGGAATTTTTTTGATTTTTTTTATAACCCTTATTTATTTATGGCTCAGTATTTGTCTGTGAAAGAAAAATATAAAATTATTTTAAATGACGATGTACGTCCAAAAGCTAGTCATTCACAAATCAAAAACATATTTGATATGATAATTAAGAAATATATTGATAAATCTATCATTGGAAAGATTTTGAGTCCGAAATTATTTATTTAAGCTCAATTCTTAAGTTTATCTAATACAAATGCTAAACGTATGTCTGTTGGTAAGTTTGAAGATATCGAAAATGCCCTTAGAATATGGATTGATGTGAAGGAATCCAGAAATAATCCAATATCTGACAATATTTTTAGAAGCAACGCCGAAAATTTTGCAAAGCAAGTTGGTATTGAAAATTTTAATTTATCAATCGAAACTTTGGGTAGGTTAAAGAAAGAAAGGGTTTTATGTCATTCAAGGTTGTAGGAGAAATGGCTGAGAATAATTTTGATTCATTAGAATCCTCCATAGAAGAAATTAAAGCGATTTTAAAAGATTTTGATAAAAAATATTCTTAATATGGATGAATAAAGATTGTTTTTTTGTATGATGCCCGCCAAAAGCATTTCTACTCTGCCTATTAAAAACTTTATAAAATTTTTGACATGAATTACTTTAGCATTTATTACGCCTTTAACAGTGGAAAAGCTGGTGCCATTGGTTATAGGAAATGCTGAAAGGCTGAGATCTCTTAACAACTTAAATACCCGCCAATATGTAAATTACACACATTCAAAGAAAAGTTGGATAACAAGGCCTATTTTTAATATTTACCTCAGTAACCTTTATAGAAATATGAAATCAAAAAATCGTAAAATATTACTGCTTGTTGATAACTGTCCTGCTCACAAAGTCACTTTTTTGTATAGTAACGTAAAAGGTGTTTTTTTGCCATTAAATACTACAGGAATGATATAAATCCTTGATTTAGGAATCATAAGATCTTTTAGGTGTAAATTCAAAAAAAAATGATTGGGCGTGTAATACGCATGATAGATAATAATTTATGTCTGTCAATTATTGATGCATATAAAAATATTTCAATTAAGACGCAATTATATTTTATTATTTAACTTGAAATGAAATTGAACCAAAGACCATTATTCAATGTTTTAAGAAGTCTCCTTAGTTTAACAATAAGTCATTCAGTCCGATTTTAATGATTCTTACATAAATTAAGATTAAAATCAGATTAGAGAATCAATTGACAAGTTGGAGCAAGTCTAGGAGTTCTCTATTAAGGATATGATTGATTTTTGAATGAGAAAATAGTCGATTGTGATATTAAAGATGATTTAATAATAAAAATGATCAAAAATAAGTGACGTATCTTTTTGAGAGATACTGTTCAATAATAGAGTTGATTTTAAAATGATTTATTTCAATCTCTTGTAGCTGTGTTTCTTTAATCATGCTATAATACCCCTACGTTGGCAATGATTTAAATAATAAAATTTAAATCAATTTCAAATATTTTATGACCGACTATTTTGACAGTTTAATTAAAATCATGTGGTTTACCACAATAGAGACGAAAATCTTATTGATGAAGAAGTACAATGTATTAACAAGGAAGTGCATAAATTCAACTTAATCAAGATTGCAGAAACATTTAAATTGGCCAGCGAAACTCTTAAAAACGATGATATTAATGTACCAAAAAAAGTTTTAAAATTAATTGAAACCATCAAAAGTTCTTTACATCAAGGAAATTCTGGCTATAATAATAATGGTGACTTAACAGGATGGATCATAAAAAGAAAATTAAATTTAAAATTACTTTAAATTTATTTTTTTAGCATTTTATGATCTACACTTTCTTTTAAAAAACGAAAAATCTTTAAAATGAAGAAATTGAGACAAAATTCCCGCAAAATTTGCCACTTTCTTAAAAACTAAAATTTCTATGTTCAAATGCTGTCTTGATTTGCCGGGATTACCGGTACAAGACGAAAATAATACTATATGTGATAACTTGGTAAAGTGTGGTAAATAAGTACTACAAAATTTACAGAGAAGATATAAGATTAGAACACCAAATTAAAGCGTATGTGCAATCCAATATGTTAAAAAGGTTCCTGAAGAGCTTGACGCTAAAATCAAGATGTGGGATTCACACCCATGCGAAAAGAGACCTAGAAGTGGATTATAAATCTGCAGAAATAAGTGATGCTTACTAAACATTAGTTCTCTATGGTTTTAGAGAAATAAATAACGCAAATCTAATTCACCCAAATAAAAATACTTTTACATGGTAGGTTTAATTATTCAAACGAAATTATTTGCTAAATTTATTTATGTAAACAAATTTTTAAAAACGATTAAAATAATTAAGTTGTGTATGATTGTTATTATGAATCACACGGTTAAAATTTAATGCATTTAAATTATCCTAATAAGAAATTTTTGGTTACATAAAATCTCTATTTTTGTACTGCTATTAAAACCTGCGTTACCAGTTACTGTAAATGACCCAGCAATTTGCTTTAAAGTAACATTAGGATGTGAAACTAAACTCTGAAACACATTAGGTTTCAGAATTAAACTGAAACTTTAGAAAAAGATTTCATTATATAATATGTTTAATAAAAAATTTAAGTCTTCTTTATTTTAACTGTTACCTTTAGAAAAAATAGTTGTGAAAATAGCTATTTTTTTACTTTTTTTCCTAAAATATTTGCATTTTGAATTTTTAAGAAAATAATTATGATATAAAAATTATAAAATTTTTATCGGATGTGTTAGTATTATATTAATTTTTAGAAATTAATTTCTTCTAATTTTTCGAGGTGAACAAAGAAAAAGGGGAATTGCCCTTTGAAAATAACAGAGTATTAAATTAAATAGACAAATACACATTTGCCGAAAAATTATATGCTAGACTGACTGAATAATGACATATAGATTGTTTTTATAAATCATAAGCTTTCATTCTATTATATTCATTTAAAGTTGTTTAAAAATTTTAATATTTTTTATAAAGGATTTTTTGAAAAATAAAAAATAAATAAATTTTTTAAATATATCCCATAAAATGTTTAGTTTCTT